AGCTTGGTAAAGCTCCTGGAGTGGGAAACCGGTTAGCCGGACTCGAGTCCTGGAGGTGAGAAATACAATGACCCCCATTGATGCTGTCAGTGATGTACTCAGACACCAGACGTCAACTTTCCTCAACGCCCCTGCGGCCCGGTCTGAGATCAGGCCTCGCGGTGGATCAGGGTCTGATCAACCAGGTTGTTACTGCTGGCCACACGTAAACCTACGTACGAACCACAGCCCGGCTGGTCAGTACCTGACCAGCCGGACTGTCTGTCCAGCTCCTTGAAGACAGCCAGGGGTCTACTGGTAATCCCCCTTATGTATGCTGGGAGGCAGTTGAACGGTCTTGGGCCCCTGACACTTACTGTGCTCTCCTAGCGTGCTAGTGGCGCCTATACTTTTCACTACGGGAAAGTCGCATCGTATGGTATGCAACATCCACAAGATGAATTACACACATGTTCACCATCTGGGTGTTTTAGACGGGTTTAGCAGTACAAATTAAGTAACCTTCACCAACTTCAAGGCTGGGGGACTGACTGTCTCAACACTCCTTCAAGGCTGGGGGACTGACTGTCTCAACACACCTTCAAGGCTGGGGGACTGACTGTCTCAACACTCCTTCAAGGCTGGGGGACTGACTGTCTCAACACACCTTCAAGGCTGGGGGACTGACTGTCTCAACACTCCTTCAAGGCTGGGGGACACTGTCTTTAACACTCCTTCAAGGCTGGGGGAACTGACTGTCTCAACAAACCTTCAAGGCTGGGGACTGACTGTCTCAACACACCTTCAAGGCTGGGGGACTGACTGTCTCAACACACCTTCAAGGCTGGGGGACTGACTGTCTCAACACACCTTCAAGGCTGGGGGACTGACTGTCTCAACACTCCTTCAAGGCTGGGGGACTGCCTGTCTTAACACCCTTCAAGGCTGGGGGACATGACTGTCTCAACACAACCTTCAAGGGCGGGGGACTGACAGTTCACAACACACCTACAAGGCAGGGGGACGGACTGTCTCAACACACCTATTTCCCAAGGCTGGGGGTATGACTGCCTACAACACATCTTCAAGGCTGGGGGACTGATTGCCATCAACACTCCTTCCAAGGCTTGGGGACTGACTGCCTCAACACACCTTCAAGGCTGGGGACATGACTGCCTCCACACATCTTCCAAGAGGCTGGGGAACTGATTAACCTCAACACTCCTTCAAGGCTGGGGGACTGACTGTCTCAACACACCTTCAAGGCTGGGGGACTGATTACCTCAACACACCTTCAAGGCTGGGGGACTGACTGTCTCAACACACCTTCAGTAGGCCTGGGGACTGACGCTCACAACACTCCCTTCAAGGCTGGGGGACTGACGCCTCAACACACCTTCAAGGGGGGGGACTGATTACCTCAACACCACCTTCAAGGCTGGGACTTACCTGCTCGACACACCTTCAAGGCTGGGGGACTGACTGTCCTCAACACACCTCAAGGCTGGGGACTGACTGCCTCAACAACACCTTCACGGCTGGGGGACTGACTGTCTCAACACACCTTCAAGGCTGGGGGACTGACTGTCTCAACACACCTTCAAGGCTGGGGGACTGACTGTCTCAACACACCTTCAAGGCTGGGGGACTGACTGTCTCAACACACCTTCAAGGCTGGGGGACTGATTACCTCAACACACCTTCAAGGCTGGGGGACTGACTGTCTCAACACACCTTCAAGGCTGGGGACTGACTGTCTCAACACACCTTCAAGGCTGGGGGACTGACTGCCTCACACACCTTCCAAGGCTGGGGACTGACTGTCTCAACACTCCTTCAAGGCTGGGGACTGGCTGTCTCACACTCCTTAAGGCTGGGGGACTGACTGCCTCAACAAACCTTCAAGGCCTGGGGGGCTGACAACCTCAACACACCTTCCCGGCTGGGGGACAGACTGTCTCAACACACCTTCAAGGCTGGGGGACTGACTGCCTCAACACTCCTTCAAGGCTGGGGGACTGACTGTCTCAACACACCTTCAAGGCTGGGGACTGACTGTCCTCAACACACCTTCAAGGCTGGGGGACTGACTGTCTCAACACACCTTCAAGGCTGGGGGACTGACTGTCTCAACACACTTCAAGGTTTTTTGGGGGACTGACTGCCTCAACACACCTTCGAGGCTGGGGGACTGACTGCCTCAATACTCCTTCAAGGCTGGGGGACTGACTGCCTCAACACACCTTCAAGGCTGGGGGACTGACTACCTCAACACACCCTTCCAAGGCTGGGGACTGATTACCTCAACACTCCTTCAAGGCTGGGGGACTGACTGTCTCAACACACCTTCAAGGCTGGGGGACTAACTGTCTCAACACACCTTCAAGGCTGGGGGACTGACTGTCTCAACACACCTTCAAGGTTGGGGGACTGACTGCATCACACACCTTCGAGGCTGGGGGACTGACAGCCTCAACACACCTTTCAAGGCTGGGGTTACTGACTGCCTCAACTCCCTTCAAGGCTGGGGGACTGATTACCTCAACACTCCTTCAAGGCTGGGGGACTGATTACCTCAACACTCCTTCAAGGCTGGGGACTGATTAACTCAACACTCCTTCAAGGCTGGGGGACTGACTGTCTCAACACATCTTCAAGGCTGGGGGGCTGACTGCCTCAACACACCTTCAAGGCTGGGGGACTGACTGTCTCAACACACCTTCAAGGCTGGGGGACTGACTGCCTCAACACACCTTCAAGGCTGGGGGACTGACTGCCTCAACACACCTTCAAGGCTGGGGGACTGACTACCTCAACACACCTTCAAGGCTGGGGGACTGACTGCCTCAACACTCCTTCAAGGCTGGGGGACTGACTACCTCAACAGAAGGGGGAGGGGGGGGGCACCTGGCAAGGCTGGGGACTGACTGCTTCACCTTCACCTTCAAGGCTGGTAGTGGGACTGACTACCTCAACACACCTTCAAGGCTGGGGGACTGACTGCCTCAACACTCCTTCAAGGCTGGGGGACTGACTGTCTCAACACACCTTCAAGGCTGGGGGGCTGACTGTCTCAACACACCTTCAAGGCTGGGGGACTGACTGTCTCAACACACCTTCAAGGCTGGGGGACTGACTGTCTCAACACATCTTCAAGGCTGGGGGACTAACTGTCTCAACATACCTTCAAGGCTGGGGGACTGACTGCCTTAACACACCTTCAAGGCTGGGGACTGACTGCCTCAACACACCTTCAAGGCTGGGGGACTGATTACCTCAACACTCCTTCAAGGCTGGGGGACTGACTGTCTCAACACATCTTCAAGGCTGGGGGACTGACTGTCTCAACACACCTTCAAGGCTGGGGGACTGACTGCCTCAACACACCTTCAAGGCTGGCGGACTGATTACCTCAACACTCCTTCAAGGCTGGGGGACTGACTGTCTCAACACATCTTCAAGGGCTGGGGGACTGACCCCCCTGTTCTCAACCTCAACACACCTTCAAGGCTGGGGGACTGACTGTCTCAACACACCTTCAAGGCTGGGGGACTGACTACCTCATTGCTAATACAGTCACGTGACTCAAGTATCTATCACGACCTGAACAAGTATCCCACAAGAATCAACATTGAACTTGAAAAGCAGGACGTTACCATTATCTTAACTTTCTCTACACAGGGGCCAGGAGCTGAGTCTTGACCCCTGCAACCACAATTAGGTGAGTACAGGTCACTGAACAAACACATTTTAACCCACACAACGACCCTCGCACCATCACGACCCTTTGCAGCTACCACGGACCCTCCCCATCACGACCCTTGCATTACCACGACCCTCGCCCACACGACCCTCCCACGACCTAGTCGCACCATTCACGATGGATAGGAGCTCTCCCACGACCCTCGCACCATACGACCCTTCACCTACCACGGACCCTCGCACCATACACGACCCTCCCACGACCCTCGCACCATCACGACCCTCGCACCATCACGACCCTTGCTACTACCACGGTTACCCTCCCACGACCCTCGCACCATCACTGACCCTCGGCACCATCGGGGGGGCGACCCTCGCACTACCATGACCCTCGCATACCCCGACCCCCGCAAAATCACGACCCTCGCACCAGTCAACACCCGCGCATACCACGACCCTCGCACCATCACGACCCTCGCACTAAACCGACGACCCCTCGCACCCCTAACCACGACCCCGCACTACCACGACCCTCGCACCTCATGACCCTGGCACTACCACGAACCCTCGCACCATCACGACCCTGGCACTACCACGACCCTCGCACCATCACGACCCTGGCACTACCACGACCCTCGCACCATCACGACCCTGGCACTACCACGACCCCGCACCTATCACGACCCTGGCATGTACCACGACCCTCGCCCATCACGACCCTCGCACTACCACGACCCTCGCACCATCACGACCCTTGCACCATCACGACCCTCGCACTACCACGACCCTCGCACCATCACGACCCTCGCACCATCACGACCCTCGCACCATCACGACCCTCGCACCATCACGACCCTCGCACTACCACGACCCTCGCACCAATCACGAACCCTTTGCACCACACGACCCCTCGCACTTCCATTGACCCTTCGCACCATCACGACCCTCGCAATACCCTGACCCTCGCATCCCATCACGACCCTGGCACGCATCACGACCCTCGCACATCACGACCCTGGGCACCATCACGACCCCTAGCACTACCATGACGCCTCGCACCATCACGATACCCCTCGCACCATCACGACCCTCCAACCATCACGAACCACTGGCACCATCACGACCCGCCACCAAACTCACGACCCTCGCACCATCACGACACCTCGCACCATCACGACCCTTGCAACCACACGACCTCGCACTAACCACACCCTCGCACCATCACGACCCTGGCACTCATCACGACCCTCTCGCACCCATCACGACCCTCGCACCATGAGAGGATGGTCGGTACATTCATCCTAAAAGCAATCCCTGTCTTACAGCTTCCCACTTCCTTCCCTCTCCTGTACAAGATTACACAAGCAGAACTGTGAATACATTCCACTCGACCAACAAAGTCACCACTGAGAAAACTAGATTCCTAACTCTACCTGAACGGCAACCAGCAAACCACCAACGGTGGGCTACCATGACACTGCAGCATCAGGGATCTTGGTAGCAAAGAATTCCTTGCCAACACTTGTTCAATCCTTTGGACGAAGACTACTTCGAAAACTGGTGGATGGTAAAACAACTATGGGACCCCGCCTCCATCTGCTTTCACCGTCCCTCACTACGTATATAACCACGTCTACGGCCCTATGCTGTACATTCTACAAGATTGATGGACTGAACACATCGACTCCAGGTTGAGGGACTGATTACCTCATTCTCCTCCTCTCCTTACGCCTTCCTCTTGTGTATTCTGGGACTGATGAAGCCACTGTGTGGCGAAACGTTTCCTGAATAAAGATTTCCATATGCTGCATAAGTGTCTCAATCTTCTAGCATGACCGTCTTCCACCAGAAAGACGCAACCAACAGTGAAGCAGCGATGTCCACTTCCACACTGGTCCCAGGACACACAAATGCTTGTAACAAGCACGACACCAAAAATACCCGCCTTCCACAGATGTCAGCAGAGACATCTCAACTGGGACAAAGCAGAATCAATCCACAGAGAATGCAGCACTGACATCCACCACAGTACCGAAGCAACTCGATTCCTACCACCAACACCACAGAACAGATCTATCAGGCCCACCATCTTTACTCCCCTTGTAACTTATTAGGTTACCTGACGCCTTCACCTGGTCTTACCAGGGACCTGTTTTGTCCCTTATATATCCTATGTTCTCTCGTTATTCTCCGCAGTGATCAAGGTCCCAGGACCGAAAGGTCGCCAATCGAGATGTTCCCTTTCATGCAGTAAGTGATGGACTCGGGGGATGTCCACACTGCAGTCTGATGTTGTGGCATCTGTGCACTTACAGCAACTTCACAACACAGTATTACAGAGGTAACACTGTCTTAACCAGACGCCAGAGAACAGTGGTACAGAGGTAACACTGTGTCTTAATCAGACGCCAGAGAACAGTGTTACAGATATGACACCGTCTTACCCAGACGCCACAGTGTTAGAGATATGACACTGTCTTAACCAGACGTCAGAGTGTTACAGAGATGACACTCTTACCCAGACGCCACAGTGTTACAGATATGACACTGTCTTAACCAGACGCCACAGTGTTACAGATATGACACTGTCTTAACCAGACGCCACAGTGTTACAGATATGACACTGTCTTAACCAGACGCCACAGTGTTACAGATATGACACTGTCTTAACCAGACGCCACAGTGTTACAGATATGACACTGTCTTAACCAGACGCCACAGTGTTACAGAGGTTTCCCTGTCTTAACCAGACGCCAGAGTATATCCTCCAGGTTTCCAACACATGAACCCACACTACCTAGCTACGTTCGCTCCCTACCTCAAGTTCTTTGGACATCTTGCGCTTGTTGACTAGCTGCTGTTGTGTCTTGGGTTCGAACGGTGGCAAACTCCGTACCAGTTCGTAGGCCGTGTCCGCCAGCCTGTCCACTTGTGACAGAAGTAGCGTAGGCGTGAGTTGAACTGGGGAGCCGGGGGTAGGGGGGTACTGGTGATACTGGTGGTACTGGTTCTCTACACCCGTACTCTGAAAAACACACAAGATGTCCGCCAGTAGTAGCAGGCCAGTGCAAGAGTCTCCCTCTCCCCTTGTAACTTTACTTTACTTAATAAAGGCGGCGCAAGTGTGAAGCTTACAAGGGTTTTACTGAGCTGGTCAATAAAATGCTCTACCCCCTTATTAATTAAAGGCGAATAAACCACCACAGATTCTTAGCTTTCAAATTACAATGACTGATATCTTAATTCAACTTCTCAGAATTTCTTTTTGCTGTCACAGCAGCGGCAAATGAACAAGTTTAATAACTTATAAGATGACCTAAGTAGAAGTTAAGTAACTTTAAGTATCTGAGCTCTATAACCTGCTCTACTGGCCCAGTCTTTTCTCACAGCAAAAGACCATCTTGTAATATTTTTCAATAAATGGAGGGGAATATATACGTGGGGGTATGTGGGAGAGGTGCAAGGTGGGAGGGGAAGGATGTATGGGTGTCAGGTTAAGCTCCAGCTCCTGCCCAGCGCTGCTGTGTGAAATGGTGGAGGTGTGGAGGTATTTTAACCTCTTCCTCCTCCACCTTTCCCACCTCCAGAGTGTTGACTCTGGAGGTCACAAGAGACAGTATAAACAGTATAAACAAGAGTGAACATGGGAAGGTAAACAACATAGGACAAACAAACAAATTTAAATCACAGCTATTACTTGGCATATTCTTCATAATTTACACACACGTTACTAGGGTACCTGTACCTGTGTACTGGTACCTGTGTGTACCTCTACCCAAACTTACTTAAGAGGCTGTGGCGACATTTCAGTCGGTCCTGGACCCTCATCGAGACCAGGAAGGACTGAAACACTGCCAGAGGAACTGTGCCACCCAGAGTATAGTCAATGAAATACAATAACGCTAAATAAAACCATATCACCACTACCACCACTATCACCACTACTACCTACTATACACCTTCCAGCAACGTAGCATCTAAATAAAACGCTACATCCTGTAACAACGTGCTCTAAATAAAGCCAAAAAACCCCTTTTATTTTTATTTACTGTAGATTGGACTGACAACATCGACTCAAGGTTGAGGACTGATTACCTCATTCACCTCCTGTTTCTTCAAGATTCTCCATGGTATGGACCTGATGAAGCCATTGTGTCCGAATTAATCAAAGCTAACTCTGCTTAAAGTTGTCTTACTGCAAAATATATGTACGAAGACGTTGTACACAACACAGAAGTCATCGCTTGTACAGTGTGTACACGAGCTTTATAGTGTGTGAGTGTGTGGTGTGTGTGTGTTTGTTGTGTGTGTGTGTGTGTTTGTGGTGTGTGTGTGATTGTGTGTGGTGATTTGTGTGTGGGGTTGTGTGTGTGTTTTTTGTGTGTGTGTGTTTGTGTGTGTGGGTTTGTGGTGTTGGTGTGTGTGTGTTGGTGGTGTGTGTGTTGTGTTTGTGTGTTGTGTGTGTGTTGTTGTGTGTGTGGGTTGTGTGTTGTGTGGGTGTTGTGTGTGTGTGTGTTGTGTGTGTGTTGTGGTGTTTGTGTGTGTGTTGTGGTGTGTGTTTGTGTGTGGTGTGATGTGTGTGTCGTTGTGTGTGTGTGTTGTGTGTGGTGGTTGTTGTGTGTTGTGTGTGTGGTGTTGGTGTGTGTGTTGTTTGTTGAGTTGTGTTGTGTGTGTTTGTGTTGGGTGTTGTGTGTGTGTGTTGTGTGTGTGTGTTGTGTGTGTTTGTTTTGTTGTGTGTGTTGTGTTGTGTGTTGTGTGGTGTGTGGTTGTGTGTGTGTGTGTGTGTGTGTGTGTGTGTGTTGTGTGTGTGTGTGTTGTGTGTGTGTGTTGTGGTGTGTGTGTGTTTGTGTGTGTGTTGTGGTGTGTGTTTTGTGTGTGTGTGTGTGTGGTGGGTGTGTTGTGTGTGTGTTGGTGTGGGTGTTGTGTGTGTGTGTTGTTGTGTGTGTTGTGTGTGTTTGTGTGTTGGTGTGGGTGTGGGTTGTGTTTGTGTGTGGGTTTTTGTGTGTGGTGTGTGTGTTGTGGTGTGGTGTGTGTGTGTGTGTGGTGTTTTGTGTGGTGTTTTTTGTGTTGTGTGTGTGTGTGTGTGTGTGTTGTGTTTGTTTGTGTGAGTGTGTTGTGTGTGTGGTTGTTGTGTGTTGTGTGTGTGTTGGTGTTGTGTGTGTGTGTTGTGTGTGTGTGTTTTGAGTGTGGGTGTTGTTGTGTGGTGTGGTGTGTGTGGTGTTTTGGTGTGTGTGTGTGTTTTGTGTGGGTGGTTTGTGTGTGTGTTGGTTGTGTGGTGTGTGTGTGTGGTGTGTTAGTGTGTGTGTGTGTGTGTGTGTGTGTGGTGTGTGTGTGTGTGTGGTGTGTTGTGTGTGTTTGTGTGTGTGTGTGTGGTGTGTTGTGTGTGTGTTGTGTGTGGGTGTTGTGGGGTTGTGGTGGTGTGTGTGGTGTGTGTTGTGTGGTGGTGTGTGGTTGGGTGTGGTGTGGTGGGTGGGTGGTGTGGGGGGGTGTGTTTTGTGTGTGTGTTGTGTGTGTGTGTTGTGTGTGTGCTTGTGTGTGTGTGTGTGTGCTGTGTGTGGGTTTGGTGTGGTGTGTGGCCGCTCACCGAATTGTACTCACCTAATTTGGTTTGCCAGGGGTCGAACTCCGCTCCTGGCCCCGCCTCGTCACTGTCGCTTACTAGGTCACTCTCCACGAACCGATGAGCTTTATCATACCTCTGCTTAAAGCTATGTATGATTCCTGCTCCACGACATCACTTCCCAAACTTTCCACTTACTGACTACCCGTGCTGAAAAAATACTTCCTAACATCCCTGTGATCATCTGTGGCCTTCAACTTCCAACTGTGCAACCTTTGTTGCTGTGTCCAATCTCTGGAACATCTGTCTTTGTCCACCTAGTCAAATCCTCTCAGGTATTTTGCAAGTGCGTAAATCATGACCCCCCTATCTCTCCTGTCCTCCAGTTCGTCAGGTTGAGTTTCCTTACCCTCTCCTGTAGGACATACCCTCTTATACTCTGCGACGAGTCTTGTTTGCAAACCTTGGTCACTTTCTCTAGTTCTTTACCATGCTTGGCTAGGGTGGGTTCCAAACTGGTGCCAGCATACCCAATATGGGCCCTAACGTACACGGTGTACAGGGTCCTGGAACGATACTTATTAAAGATCGGCAAAGCTGTTCTGTTTCTGATGTGTGCTAGTCGCCTATATGCTGCAGCAGTTATTTGGGTCGATATGCGCTCAGGAGATGTCTCTGGTGTTATACTCACCTCCAAGATCTTTTTCCTGATGAGGTTTGTAGTCTCTGCCCCCTAACGTACTCCGTCTGCAATCTTCTTTGCCCTTCGACAATTCTTCATGACTTGCACTTGGTGGTATTGAACTCCAGGAGCCAATTGCTGGACCAGGTCTGCAGCCTGTCCAATCCGTTGTAGTTCCGCTGGTCCTCGATCGAATGAACTCTTCTCCATCAACTTCAACGTCATCTGCAAACATACACACTTCGAGTTTATTTCCCTCCGTCCTGTCGTCACAAAATACAAAACATCACGGTTCTAGGACTGACCCTCCCCTGTGGGACCCCGCTGGTCACTGGTGCCCACTCAGCCACCTCGCCACGTACCATTAACTCGCTGCTGTCTTCCTGACAAGTATTACCCTGAATCCCATTGCAGGTGCCTTCCCTCTTATCCCTGTTTGTCCTCCAGTTTTTGCACTAGTCCTTGTTGGAACTGTGTCAAACGCCTAATGCAGTCCTGAATATGCAATTCCATCCACCCCTCTCTCGTCTTACTGCTGTCACCATGTCATAGATCTCCAGTCGTGTTGTGACACAGGATTTCCCGTCCCAGAAACCATGTTGGCTGCTGGTGATGAGAATCGTTCCTTTCTAGGGTTTCACCACTAGGTGTGTGTGTGTGTGTGTGTGTGTGTGTGTGTGTGTGTGTGTGTGTGTGTGTGTGTAACTCATTATACCAACAAAGATACATGACAGTTAAATGAGAAAACCACACGCAACACACACCCACACACAACACACACACACCCCACAAACACACAACACACACACACAACACACACGCAACACACAGACAACACACACACAACACACAACCACACACCACATCACACACCCCACACACACACACACCGACACACACAACACAACACATCACACAAACACACACAAACACACTCAACTACACGCAACACACGCAACACACACACGCAACACACAACACACACACAAAACACACACAACACACAACACACACCCACACCACACACACACACACACACACAACACACACAACAAACACACACAGAACACACACAGCAAACACACACAGCACACACACACACACACAACACACACCAACACACACACACACACACACACACACACACCCCACACACACACACACACATTCAGGAGTCTGGTCTCGACCCCTGTAACCACAATTAGGTGATACACAACACTCACACACAACACAACACACACACAGAAACACACACACAAATACACACACATACAAATACACACACACACCCACACACACACACACACACACACAACACAACCCACACTCACACACACACCACACACACCCCACAGAATCACCCGCCATAAGACTCCACCGCGACATTCCCAACGCAACTGAGCAACCTATACTACAACCCACTCACTTTTTCCTCTGCACCAACCCCCATATCACAAACCTCAACCCCCAGCTGTCGACTTATGGGCATTCTGACCCCACCCCCATCATCACAAACCCCACCTACACCACAGCCATATAGGCCCCCACCAAGGCTCTCCGCTCCCCCAACCCCAATATCTTGCATGACCAACAAGATAGAAAAGAAACTGAAAGTTTGGTACACAAACGCGGATGGAATAACGAATAAACATGAGGAGTGGAACGAAAGAATCAGTGAAAATCCCCAGACATCATAGCAGTCAACAGAATCAAAACTCGCTGAGACAAAACAGACACAATCTCCCAACAGGAAATCAGATCTGAGGAAGATAGGAGGAGTTAT